TCCGGTTCCCCCCCCCCCCCCCCCTGCCATGTACCTCTCTCCTCGCTGGCCGCCTCTCTCCGGAGATCTTCAGGATGGAGTGCGGGAAGCAACATGTAAACATGTAAACACTGAGATGGGAGAGCTCGCAACCTTCCCCTCGCAACCTTTGAGTTCCAGCACAGTGCTGTGCTAGAGCTCCTGTATTGGAAGTGACAGGTTCCATAAAGAGAACCTGTCACCTCCAAATGCTATCACACAGGGGCTTGTTAGCTCCTGTGTGATAGCAATAAAGTTAAGTGAGGGGAAAAAAAGAAAAACAATTGAAAAAACAATTAAATAAATAAAAATAAATAATAATTAAGCGCATTGAGGACTCCTGGCATTGGCCTCGGGGCAGCAGAGAGAGTAAATCCGGCCCTGTCTCTGTTGGGCATTGATTTCCTTTGGCTTTATTCTACCTCTTTTTTGGCTTTAGGATGCATTTTCTTATTGAGCGGGCATTTATCTTGCCACAATTTGCTTAGGCTGGGGTGTTTTAGGCTGTTTTTTTTAGCTGTACGATTGCCAGTGACTAGGAACTGAACCTGGCTATTACAGAGGTAGATGTTCAGGCTCTTGTAGGCCTCATAGCAATGCTAACTGGACATGGTTCTTCCTGTGTCATAAAACAGGTTCTCTTGGAGTGATTATTTTATGGCCAGGATTGTAGGAAGACATTGGAATTATTTGATGGTTGGTTTTGCGCTCCGTGTTACTCTCTGGGGGTGCCATCTTACTTGACAAATTCTTCAAATCAAATGTACGCTAACCATTGTAATCTCTGTTACCTACTAATGTAGCACTGCACTGTCATAATGATAAGAAGAGTGTTCATGCAAATGTCCCACTTATTATTCCATCTTAAAGAAAAAAAAAAGCTTGTCCTGGCAGTAGGGCTACCAACGGAGTGCAAAGGTTACCTGTTCGTTTTGTTTAGGGGACTCAAAAAAAGCAGATTACTTACCTGATCCTTGGGTCTGTCAGCTTCCTCTGGGCTACTAGACCGGTCCCTGCAGCCTCTTCTCCCCCTGGGCTCCGGCAGTCTAAGGACCGCTGACGTCATCACATCTTATGCAGGTCCATTGACTTGCATTATTCATGAGGACACGGAGGGAAATTCAATAACTGGAGTAGAGGGGGAGAGAGGGGAGCGCTGACCGCAGCAGGTCCGAGGATCAGTTTTGTTTGAGCCCCCTAGACAAAACGAGCTAAGTTTTTGAGTTCTTCTATAAAGATACTGTCCATTCGGGGTATAGTGACAGTATCTGTGCACGGGGACCCCCCCCCAATCCTTTTCCCCAGTGCTCTTCAGACTCTCCTTTTATTGCTACAGCCGGCAAAAAAAACAAAACATTGCTCCAGTTATGAGGGAGCATGTGTCCTCCCCCCGTGTGGCAGTGCCTGGGTCAAGCTGCCAATCAATAGGTCTGAGCACTGCCAAATGACCAAGGTAGTAATGTCACCACCAGGGGCGTTACTAGAAATCACAGGGCCCCATAGCAAAATCTTTTATGGGGCCCTGTGATTTCTAAATAAGTCCACCTGATAACCCAAACAGCCCACCTGAGGGTGACCCTGCAGAGCCCACTATAGACTCTATGGTGAGCTCTGCAGGGTCTCAGGTGGGCGGTCAAGCCCTCTTACCTGTCTGGCTGATCCTCTGTCCGCCTCCTTCTCCTCCACGACCGCTTGCGGGCCCCGCCTCCTCCGTCACTGGGCCCCACCTCCTCGATTGCCGGGCCCGCCTCCCCATCGCTAAGACCTGCCTCCTCCATCGCTGAGGATGACGGGCCCAGCTACCTCTCCCGAAGCTGCTGGTTGTCATCGACTCAGCAGCTTGAGGAGGAACGCGCCGCTGCACATGTGAATGGCTGCGTGTTTCTCCTCACAGCTGCCAGTGACAGCCAGCAGACTGAAATGCCATAGCGACCCAGGCGGCCCGCACGGCATCAGGGGGATGTCCTGGCCGCCTGGGTCGCTATGGTGGTTGTTACGCCACTGGTCACCACTCCCCATTGCTTCTGACACTAGCTGACACTGGGGATTTCTGTGCCGGCAATAATGGGAGAGATCTGGCAAGAAGTGCGTAGGGGGGATCCTTAACACAGATATTGTCACTTGTCCTGAATGGGCAAGGTGACAGTGCCTCTTTAAAGGCACTTTACACTGAACAAATTTCAACCAATTGCTGCTGAATCTGGTAAAATTCAAGACGGTGTGGCCATGACGGCACCAACGGAGAAGGGAGATTGTCAACCTCAATCAGCTGCAGTCACTGCATGGGTATTCAATCAGCCATCTGCCTGAATACAATAGCCAGCAAGGGAGAGTCCGCCATCCACACTGTTTAGTCGCAGGTGTTGGAAGATATACTCTATGTAACTTCCCGCCAACTTGCAAAAGAAATCATTCTTGTGCTTATAACCATTTTATTTACTTGTGTCTTCTCCGTAGATGACCACGGTCGTATCAAACTAAGGAGTGACAACAACACGTCCAGGAGTGATTATATCAATGCCAGCCCTATTGTAAGTAATATTCTAGCACTTCCTTTCCTACAGGACAGAGAATCACATCAATGGCTCTCTGCCGCTAATGGCAGAAAAAATCAGATCGCACTGGCCTGGAACAGAGGCATTGATGTGCCACGCGTTCTGGTGCGAGCGATCACACTGCGGGCGGGGGGGGTTGCGTGGCTGCAGTGCCTTTGACTTAAATGCACCGCCACTCCCCCTCCCGATTCAGAATGTTTGTTCCCATTTTTATTTGGTTTTGTCACTTTTTCAGGTTTGCATAATATGTCTGCTCCATTAGGGGTATACAGATAGGAGAGCTGAAGTGGTTAAATACACTTTATTGAGAAACGTTGTTTCTAACTGTAACTTGTTATTTTATTGGACCCTCTTATCGCAATGCTGTTTGAAAACAGTGGGCTCTCTGCGGTGATGATTGGTGGCCAGCAGGTGCGTAACTAGAAATCACAGGGCCCCATAGCAAAATGTTGTATGGGTCCCTGTGATTTCTAGTTACGCCCACTTGATAACGCAAACAGCCCACCTGAGAGTGACCCTACCGAGCCCACCATAGAGTCTCTATTGTGCCTCGGCAGGGTCTCAGGTGGGCAGTCAAGCCCTCTTACCTGTCAGCCCCGATCCGCTGTCCACCTTCTCCTCCTCCACGGTCGCTGGCGGGCCCCGCCTCCTCTGTCACTGGGCCACGCCTCCTCCATCACTGGGCCCCACCTTCTCCATCGCCACCTCCTCCGAAGCTGCTGGTTGTCCCCGACTCCGACACCGGCTGCACACATCTCTGACGGGTTGTCAGTGATGTGAATAGTGGCGCGTTCCTTCTCAAAGCCGCCAGTGACAGCCAGCAGCCTGAGATGCCATAGCAACCCAGGTGGCCCGCACGGCATCAGGGGGGTGTCCTGGCCGGGCCCTCCTGTGCCCTGGGCCCCATAGTGGCCGCCTGTGTCGCTATGGCGATTGTTTCGCCACTGGTGGCCAGAGAACATATGACTTAGGCTTCCTAGGCAGGGATCCCATTTTTAATTCATGGCTATCAAAGGGAACTTTTTTATTATTAAAACTAATGATGTGATTTGTGTAAATTCTATTGGTAGGGCAAGACAATAGTGAAGGTGATTTCAAACATTTCTAGTCATATGAATTCTGTTTTCTGCCCCAGATTGAACACGACCCTCGAATGCCGGCTTATATCGCCACGCAGGGTCCGCTGTCACACACCATCGCAGACTTCTGGCAGGTGAGTCTATAGGTGAAGTGAATACAGAGGGCTGCAATGTATGGGATGCATATAACCTGCTAACTGATCAGTATATGTTACCGTGATTCTGTGACATTTATTGTTTATTGACTTACAATACCTCTAATGGGCATGTGGGATCTACTTCTCAGCAGTGATGAGCGAAACTGAAACATGTCACTGACCTAAAATTTAGTCCTAGTATAGGACAGTCTTTCTCAACCAGGGTGCCATGGCACCCTGGGGTGACTTCTGGATTCCTCAGGGGTGCCTCAAAATTTTTGCACAGCATCATGTTTTTCTATGGTAAAGGTGGGCCGACCACCAGCACTATGGAAATGAATGATGCTTATCCAAGGATGATGCTTATCCAAGGTGGTACCCAATAGGATGGAAGTTCACCTCTATCCAGGTCTACTCCACCACCCACCCTCTGCCATGCTTCCATCGCTCTGGCTCCTTATGTGATGGTCGGACTCTGATATGAAGGGAAGGGGGGGGACGCCTGATGTGAAAGGTGAGTTACTGATGTGAAGGGTGCTCCTGATGTGATGCGAGGCTTGTAATGTTAAGGGGGGGGCTTTGATGTGAAAGGAGGGACTCTGATGTAAAGGGGGGCTTCTGATGTAAATGTGTTCTCCTAGAATGAGAGAAGGGGACGCTAGTGTCAAAAGAGAGTGCCCCTGATGTCAAGGGGCTCATAATGTGAATGGGGGTAGCTGATGTAAAGGGGGGCTCAGATTGGAAAGGGGATTCTGATGTGAAAGGAGGGGGCTCTGATGTAAAGGGGGCTTTTGATGTCAAGGTGGTCTCCTAGAATGAGAGAAGGGGACGCTAATGTCAAAAGAGAGTGCCCCTGATGTCAAGGGGCTCATAATGTGAATGGGGTAGCTGATGTAAAGGGGGGCTCTAAAGTGAAAGGAGAGAGCTCCTAATATGAAGGAGGGAACTCCACATTCCTTTTTTTGAGTGGGGTCCTCACTTAAAATCCATATCTGGCCCCTATCTCACATAAGGGTCTGGTATGGATTTTAGAGGGGTCCCATGTAATTTTTTACATTTTATATTGGGGGTGCCTCGAACTTTTGCCTACTTTTAAAGGATGCCAGGACTGAAAAAAGATTGACAAATGCCGGTATAGGACATTTCTCCATTTTGGCAAAAGCATGGGGGTCCTTGGGGATGGCATCATTAAGGTGGTTTTTATAAGAGCTTTAAATGTTAAAAAAAAGGAATGTGACCCCTTTACCAATGCTGACTTGGTGGTCATATGACTCGATAAGCAAAGTCATATCAGTGAAATCATTTTGTTTTAATAAAGCCATAATATGGTGAGGAATGACGCTCTCTCTGTACTCGCAGATGGTCTGGGAAAACGGCTGCACGGTCATAGTGATGTTATCGCCATTGGTGGAGGACGGAGTAAAACAGTGCGATCGCTATTGGCCTGACGAAGGCTCCTCCCTCTACCACATCTATGAGGTTAGTAATATCCTGAAGGTGTATCTGTATCTCTGCTGCTCCCTGGTGGCAGAAGGGTAAATAACAGTTCAGGAGTTTGGAGAACCTTCACAGAGCCGGAGCTCTTCTTCGCAGGTGAACCTTGTATCGGAACATATCTGGTGTGAAGACTTCCTGGTCCGCAGTTTTTATCTGAAGAACGTTCAGACCCAGGAGACGAGGACCCTGACGCAGTTCCACTTCCTGAGCTGGCCAGCAGAGGGCACTCCCAGCAGCACTCGCCCCCTGCTTGACTTCCGCAGGTGAGCTTCTCCATTAAAATACATATTCACCGTCATGGGGCTGTGATGCTGGCTTATGGCTCATGTCCGAACTGCTCCCATCAACTATCTCAGCCACATGCCATACAATTTAATTGTACAATAGATTTACCAATGCTGTGCTGCCAATCCATTCAATTTCTATCCAATCAGGAAGGCCTTTGCACTATTTAGTGGTTGGTAGACCTAAAGCTCACCATGCATGTCACAAGCTGACCAAACAATCTTTATACAATCAACTTTAAAGGATAAGTGGACTTTAAAACAAAGTGAAAAATGCCAATAAGTGAGACCTTATGATACGTTTAAACAGAATGGCACTTATGCTTCTGAATAGAGCTAATGCTGATGTCCCATTGTAATAGTAACTTACATATATGTCTGTTCAGGTCCAACATGACTGTCTTGTGCGTTTATAAAATGATGTTCTTCGCTGATATTCTTCATATGCTATGTCTTTGCTTGTTTCTTTTATTTTCCCAGCCAAGCCGGATTAGGATTTGCTCAGGTGTTGCCCTGAACACAATCTGGTTGTAGGCTGTGAGGCTCCTAAAATCAGTGTCTCAACCTCTAACCTCTCCGTCCTCCTTCGTCCTCTCTCAGCCCACGGCCGCCCCTGTCATTTTTGTGATTTGCAGCTTGTAATTTTGGTCTCAGTTGCATAGTCACAAAAGTGATCATGAGCAGGTGGGACACACCTCCTTCTCCGGAATCGCCGTCTGCTCCAGCGCCTGCAGACGGGCAGCCCTAGCAAGTCTGAGACAATAAGGGGGTGATTTTTAAACGCATGGCGAACAGCTGTGCAAGAGATATATGCAGCACATTACGGCCACTAGATGGAGCCGAGGAGCATAGGAAACTGTTAGGACAGACAGTGCTCAAATCTAGAATACAACTGATAATGAGATCTGTACACTGTAATCAGTCCCTGCATCTGTACACTGGTTGTGCCCATTATGAGGGGTTACCACCATCTGTACGTTTAGTTTCTGGGTCTGCACACCTATTGTGATTGTGACCCATTAGATTTTAATACTTGAGTTATGTTTTAAAAGAAGGCTTTCAAAGTAGAAACACAATGCATTGTCAGCAATACAATCAATATACTGCTGACAATACAGGTCCGTAATGCATTGCTGACTATACATTGTTATTTGAAGGTGCAAGTTCCAGGGCCAGCATTATCCTTTCTTAGCTACTCCATGAGTCAGGGAGCTGGAACAATTATGGATGAGTTAGGTGTCCTGATATTGAATTGGTGCACATGTGTTCCACATCACCAACTCTCTATTGGATAAAGAAGGATCAGTATGACAGCCCTGGAATATGAAGCGTCAAAGTCAGTGATGGTTCAATTGGACCTTTATTTAGTTTTTCTTCTTTATGTTGGTTGTGTGTTTAGATGGAGCGCTGAGATCTTGAGGAATGCTGAATTAAGTTTTACTTTCTTAGAGGGACATTATATCAGCATACAGCATTATACGGCATTGTAGAAGGAAACAGACAGCCAGATAGAACTTCCTGTATGTCATAGACAAGCATACCTAGGCATAGAGACCAACACTGCCCCACAGAGCCACCTACAGCCCAAAAGACAATATTACATCTCTGAATGTCAGTAATACGAATCAGTGTATGCTGTTGCATTTCCAACACTTTACACATGATTGCCATGCTTGCTGCCCATTCAGAATAAACAGGATATCCAAAAACATTTTTAAAAAAATACAACAGATGGTGGCTGGAATTGATAAAAGTAGAACATTTGATATACTGTACAGTGGTATAAAAAAACTTGTGTATTCTGCACCCGTATGTTTTTACAGCAGACAGCGTGGATTTGGAAAACATTTGCTGTGTACTTTATGTGTCAGGTGGCTGAAAGGACTTCATACAACGGAATATGTTTTATTCTAACAGGAAAGAAATGACAGCTGCGTGTGTCTGGTCTAAAGTGAAGAATCTAAGAACCACCAAATATTGGATATATTGTTCTCTTTGACTCAATATCTTTTTGTGCGTGCCTAAGCTTACAGTTTGGCTGTTTGTGTATACAAATATGGATGAGTGACAGGTCCACTTTAACAGGGATTAATGATCTTTTTGTATCCATTTAGGGAATCTGAAGAAACATTGTCATCTGTTGTCTCCTTTTTTTTTTTTTTACAGGAAGGTGAATAAGTCTTTCCGCGGACGCTCCTGCCCTATTATTGTGCATTGCAGGTACTGTGACCTCTCGCTGTCATTCGTTAATAAATCACCATAGCGGCCAATCAGGTTTTTTTTCAGTTGGCAGCTTTGTAGCACAGATTAGCCAATTAAAGCTGAAACCTGATTGGTTGAAATTTTGAACACCGACATTTTTCTTTCCTCAGTGGTTATGTTGCTCTGTCTCAGTAGCGGGCCATGATGTCTAAGGCAGCTTTTCTCGACCATGGTGCCGTGGCATCCTAGGGTGTCTTCTGGCTTCCTCAGGGGTGCTTCGAAATGTTGGCCAGCACCATGGAAATGTATGATGCCAAGCCAGGAATGGTGGGATCTATTCATAAAACTTTTCATATGTCCAGTCCTACTTTGTCTCTTGTCCTCTACCATGCTGACACAGCTGTAGCTCCTTATATTAAAGAGGGGGGCTCTGATTTGAAGTGGAGCTTCTGATGTGAAAATGGGGCTCCTGATGTGAAGGGGGGATTCTAATGTGAAGGAGGGCTCCTGATGTGACGGGGGGCTTCTGATGTGATGGGGGCTTCTGATGTGAAAAGGGGGCTCCTGAAGTAAAGGAGGACTTCTGATGTGAAGGAGGGCTCCTGATATGATGGGGGGCTCCTGATGTGAAAAAGGGGCTCCTGGTGTAAAGGAGGGCTTCTGATGTGAAAAGGGGGCTCCTGATGTGAAGGAGGGCTTTTGATGCAAAAGTTGATGTGTTGAAGTAAAAGGAAGGGGGCTTGCGGAGACGGCATGCAAAAACACACAAAAAGATGAGGTTCTCCCATCACAGTCTGAATATCCATACCAGACCCCTATCTGGGATAAGGGGCTGCTATGGATATTGGAGGAGCAATACGTTGTTATTTTACATTTATTTTATTATGTTTCTCTATCATCCATTGAGGGACAAAGCTTTGAAGAACTCTAAGATGTAGGGTTATGCTGCTGCCTCTAGGAGAACATTTCTCCTAGAGGCAGCAGCATAACCCTACGTCCCAGAATTCTTCAGAGCTGTGTCCTTCAATGGACTCCGAGAAAATAATTTTACAGTGAGAACAAAATCCTATTTTCTTTATCGTCCATTGAGGGACACAGTTCTGAAGAATTCTGGGACGTAGGGTTATGCTGCTGCCTCTAGGAGAAATGTTCTCCTAGAGGCAGCAGCATCACCCTACATCTTAGAATTCTTCAAAGCTTTGTCCCTCAATAGACTCTGAGAAAAGGTATTTAACGGTGAGAACAAAATCCTATTTTGCATACTTTTATAGGGTGCCGTGACTGAAAAAAGGTTGAGAAACGCTGGTCTAAGGGAACCATTTTTAGCACCGCTTATAGCCACTGGGTGGTGCACAGACTTAGCAAAGTGACTTTTAATGTGCATGTCAGTAACGGGAGAGGACACAGCCTAACACTGGTGTGTGCATATTACATGTACACTGAATATAAATAAAATGCAACCAAAACATTTGCATGTTTTCATTGTTGACCCCTATTTTATAAATGCTAGGTGCCTGGCTGCCTCTGGCCTCAATGCATTGACACAGAACAAGCATGCAGGAACTGCTGCACTTTATCATTAAACTGGTGTAGGGAAAATAGTGAAGCCACTGGATCAGCATGGGCACCGAAGAGGTAGCATTTTCACCAATGGCACTCCTTGTATTTTACTGTTTCCCTTAAATGTATTTTTAAATCACTGCTTTAAATCTTTCCGCAGAACAGAGTTTGTGTGATTGTAAGCCAGTCACACTCTATCGCAGAGGTAGGTAACCTCGCCACTCCAGCTTTGGCGAATACCATCATGCCTTTGCCTCTAGGAGTCCCGTCTGCGGCTTTCAGAGTCTTGCAATCCCTCACCAGTGCTGAGGTTGCCTCCCCTTGCTCTGTTGTATTGTACAGCACTGGCAGTCTAACATGTTTCAGGTACCAGAGGCCCTAGAGGGGAAGGTATTTAGGCAGCTTATGGAAGAAGGAAGCACAGAGTGATGATGCCGATTTATTGTCCAGCAAGCAAGCAGGTGATACAGAAAGCTGCAAAGCTGTAATAGAAGAGAGAGCTGTCCCCTCCTTGGCTGTGAAGAGGTGAGTGAATGATAAGTCTGGCTGAACGGATTTAGGAACTCCAAGATTTATCTGTTTTTAAAATGTATATTGGTCCAGCTTGGTTACATCTGATTCTTAATATCTCACAATTGGTGGGGTGGCTGAAATTCATTGTAGTAGCCTGTGCTACATACACTCAGTGCTGATCTCTTCCGGGTGCTGCTCGATCGACTTGCCGTCAGTATATAGAACACAGGGAGTCGCTGGTTCAGATTTTTTTTTTATTGAATACAGTACAATTCTCTGATTGAACAAGGTGGAGAGGTGGGGTAAATTATGTCACAATCTCCAGCGCTGACTGTATGTAGCACAGCCTACTACAGCGAATTTCTGCATCCCCAGCGGCCTTCAGGATGTGACGTATGAAGAATTAGATTTGAGCAAGCTGGAGCAATGTAAGTTTTAAAAAAGATCATTCCTGGAGTTCAGCTTTAAGGAGATAGATAGATAGATAGATAGATAGATAGATAGATAGATAGATAGATAGATAGATAGATAGATAGATGGATAGATATTCCGGTATTCCTCTTAAATTATATATATTGCTGTCTATAAAGTGCTGTGTCTACTTTGTTTGTCACGTTTCCTTGTAATTGAACATATATTTGTTTCCAGTGATGGAGCTGGGAGAACGGGAACCTACATCCTTGTTGACATGGTCCTCAATCGCATGGCTAAAGGTGAGGAAAAGATCACATGACAATATGTGAGCATGAACGATAGACACTTATTAAAGGGCCAGAACACACAAAAAATTATAGAAAATAGCTTTTTCTGAATGTTTATGAATCAATATGGAAACATTTTAGGAATTTATAAGAACTGAAAATATTTTGTCTGTAATGTTCTGTGACCTCATAGGATGCTGGCAGATGACCCCTGTAAGCCTCTCTTGGCCTAAAATGGCTGATAACATAGATAAATGGGCTGCACAGCAGTGTATGATATGGGCGGGGCATCAACATACACTATATGGCCAGAAATTTGTGGACACCTGACCATCACACCTACTATATGGCCAAAATAATGTGGACTCCCCTTTCAAGAATTAAAAGAGAACTATTCGGGTAACCTTTTTATCCCATAGTTCTCCTCAGGGTCATGGGAGGGCATATACTAACATCCTCCCGTGACCCAAAGCTCAGTATATAGCAAGCTATTGCCCGCTATATACTTGGAGCGCTGCAGCCGGGACAGATACTGTCTGGATCCACCCAGCTGGTTGATTGACAGCAGGCTCTGCCTATCTAGAGGCAGAGCCAGCTGTACCCTCCCCCGTCCATGCTTCCAGCATGACTGTACACCTGTGCGCAAAGCCAGCTCTATAGGACAAGACATGGGTTGGTGAGTTTGATGTGAAGGAACTCAAGTCACCTGCACAGAGCCCTGACCTTAACCCTACTGAACACTTTTGGATAAATTGGATAGCAAGCCAGGTTTTCTCAGCTACTTAAGAGTTCAAGTGTTTCCAGCGAAGGGTACTGCTAATGCTACCGCATACAAAGACAGTTTAGACCAGTGGTTCTCAACCTGTGTAACCTCAGGACCCACATTTGTCCTTGGTCATTAAGTCACGACCCAAGTCGTACTGCAATGGAATGCGCAGCATTGCATTACTGGACGTTCGGGTGCAACCGATCGGACTGTGGGTTGGGAGGTGCGTTTGGGGCGTCATTCGAATGAATGGCAACGCAACACATCTTCCACACCAGAACACGCAGTAGGTGCGATTGCGTGGTATAGTGCGTTAATTGCATGGGACTGTACGATTAACGCACTGTACTAGTGTGAATGGGCCCTCAAACACTGAAAGACACACACAACCACAGACATAATCTCACACACATACACACTCCCAAAACATTTATAATTTAATTCTTTTAAGATCCCCTCAGTCTCCCTACCTTAACTGGAGAGGATCCTCAGCCCGGGGTCCAGTGTGGGCTGCTGTGTTGTGACGGAGCTCCATCCATATGTGCAATTCTTGTACAGCTCCCTTGCACGCCCTGTAGAGGTCCCGGGAGCCAGAATGTGATGTCAGTCCAGGCACCTCTACAGGGCACATGTGGGAGCTGTAAGCAATGCACATATGGATGGAGCTCCCTTATGGCCATACTTCCAGCCCACCCCACCTCAAGCTTACACACAGGGCTGGGCAACATATTTTGAATGGCTGCTCGGCGCGAGAACTGATAACTGATGGTGCTGTACTGGGGGGAGGCTGAGGAGTCTCTCACCTAGAATAGTGGAAGGCATGTGGCGACCCACTGAACATGGCGTCGCGACCCACTTTTGGGTCACAACCCACCAGTTTAGAACCAAGGGTTTAGACAATTGTGCACTTGCAACATTATGGTAACAGTTTGGGGAAGGTCTTTTTCTGTTCCAGTATGACTGTGCCCTTGTGCAGAAAGCCAGCTCCATAAAGACATGGTTTTGTGTGGAGGAACTCAAGTGTCCTGCACAGAGCCCTGACCTCAACCCTACTGAACATCTTTGGGATGAATTGGAACGCCATTTGCAAGCCAGGTCTTCTCATCCAACATCAGTATCAGACCTCACAAATGCTCTTTTGGCTGAATGGGCAGAAATTCTCACAGACAAACTCCAGAATGATGTGGAAAGCCTTCCCAGAAGAGTGGAGGATGTTTTCGCTGTAAGGGAAAGGGTGTAATTCTTTATTAATGCCCATGGCTTTAGAAAAGGATGTCCAACAAGCTCATATAGGTGTGATGGTCAAGGGTCCAAAAACTTTTAGCTTTGTAGCGTAAGCTTCTTCTGCAGGGAAGGTGGACATAATCGAAACCTTTTTCGATAGTCGGGTGTCCACAAACTGAGTGTTTGAGTAGCATTGTATTATTATTATTTCTGTACATAATGTGCATTATATCTGCACATGGGGACATCTATATTTTTTTATTATATACGCACTCTATGTTTCCAGCTTAGTAATTCCGCACATTGTATGTACAGTAGCTTGTTGGCCCTGCTCCTGTCTGTTTACCAGACAAGGTCGGTTTGAATGAAAAGAATAGACTCTGTTGAAAGGGAAAAACATGTTCCTGGTAGTCAGGGTTTAGGTCAGATGAGAGACCTTAAGAACACCAGAGTTTAATGTACTTTTTTACTCAATATAATAATGTGATTTGGAAATGTACCTTACTTTATTGATTCATGTGAAAGGTGAATTTCCATAGTAAGTGGAGTTAAAGGCAAATATAGGTAAGAGTTGTCCCTAGAATTAGCGTCCTTTGTTATTTCTGGTGAGTCACACACAAGCAGAGAGCTGGGGGTTGGGATTATTACCCATTAAGTAATTAGAGGGGCGTAATGGGGACTACGCTTGTGACATGTAGGAGAAATGAACATAAAAAATGTCAATACTTTGGTCAAAGCTGTGATAATATTCATTCCATGCTTGTTAGGAAACTATTATTGAAGGCAGTAGGTTTCTGTTGAGCCTGAAGCTCAGCTTTAAGCACATACCCCCTTACCCACATCCTACAAGGTAGTGCAGGGACCCTTCCAACAAGCTGCATATATGTAACATGTTTCTGTATGATCCTGTGTGCAGGTGTGAAGGAAATCGATATTGCGGCCTCACTGGAGCACGTCCGGGACCAGCGACCTGGGATGGTGCGGACGAAGGTACACAACAATCCTACTTATTTCATGCCCATAATCTATGAAGGGAGTAGACTTCCAAGCCTGGCCAGGATTTGCATAATACAGTATTGCAGGGTTTGGGGCTTCCATGTCACTGCAGAGCTGAATGTTATACGGTCTGGGGCCTGGTGTGCCACCTTTAACAACATTACAGGCATACCTAACGATAAGTTATTGTCGATGGTCAGATGCTATGTCCATTGCAGAGCTAGGGAGAGGCGCATTCATGGCTTTGTTTACCATTTTAATGGGACATCCACCCAAAGCTGATATTGTGGTTCTGGTTAGATGGTGATGTACTGTATCATTCACTGGCCTAATACATCTCTTAAAACTCAAGGGGTGAGATTTTATGATTATAGTGTCTGAACCTTCCAGCCCATTTGATTACAGACGCTACCATAGGCAGGTAGGTGGGCCTGGTGAAGAGGCCTTTGTGCTGGAGATCCTGAGATATAACTCATTGGAAGTTGGATGTTGGATGTTGATCAAATAAATGGACACAGTCTGTCTATGATCATGTGAAAGAATCATGCAGACGCTGTGGTCCCAACCAGGTCAACTATCTGTCCTCCCAGGCCATTTTCTGCTGCTAGCCATAGACACCACATATAAACTGGTCAGATTCAGTGATAATCATCTGAAATGTACTTGTATCCAACAAATCAGCCTCATCCCATTGCTGAACCTTTAACGTTACCTTGCGTGATGGCCAGTTTTGACACATTTGGCTTTCTTTTCCATTTTTGCAGGATCAGTTTGAGTTTGCCCTGACAGCAGTGGCGGAAGAAGTTAATGCAATCCTGAAGGCTCTGCCACAGTGAGATTGACCCAGCTGCCCTACTCGGTGTTGTGACATTGCGCCTGCCTTATGAAGATGGCAGCTCCACCGTCCTCAAATATCCATTGATGTGCTCTCTACTCTTCATGCCAGAGATCCATGGCTGCCCTTCTATGCCCCTAATGCCTATCTGCCTTTCCAAGCATCTACCCCTGTACCGCCCTAACTTTTCTTATCCCCAAATTTGCTACCTCGTCCCCCATGCTTCGCCCCTAAGCTGCTAGTACCTCGTTGTCATCAAATCATGTGTATTCATTGTTCTCCAATAGCAGACAGGCTTCTAGTCTCCCATTGTCCCCAGGGCAAAGTCCCAGAATAACAGTTTCAGTATAATTCATGGAACTACATCAAATATATTATATGGCACAACAGACTATATTTTTATAAATTCATGATTGTATTGCTGTCTTAACAGCACCTAGGGTTGAATTAGGCTGGCCTAAAGTGTTTCTAGCGGAACAACAATGTTAAATTACAGACAAACTTAACATGTCTGCAGTTACCCATGTAGGTCTTCAGATCAATCTGTGTGCTTGTGGAGCCCTTTTAAATCTTGGTCCAGACTGTACATGAGTCCACCAGTTCTGTCCAAGTTGAGATTAAGCCCAACCTCCCGACACTAAGCTCAATCCTTTTAAATGCCTTTGCTGCCCACTAATGTTCTGGCATTTGACAGTTGAATGGCAGGGGCTTGGGCTTTAGCACCAGAACCGAGAAGGGGCTTAATCTTGACATCAGAAGTCATTGCCCTATGTAGGGCTGCAACAACTAATCGGCATAATCGATTATAATCGATTATTGAAAAAGTTGTCAACTTTTTCAATAATCGATTAATCGGCTTCCGATCAGTTGGCCCTGTTCACAGCTCCACCTCCCCACCTCACGCCCGCCGCTGCCAGACCCGCCCGCCTGAATCCACGCTCCACACGCCACACCTCCTCCCCGCCTCACACTCACCGCCCACCCACGATCGGCACAGGGATGGAGTACAACCTCAATACAAACTAGTAGTCCATCACTGGAGCTATTTTTGAAACTTTATTTTATTGTTTATCCGATTAACCGATTAATCGAACCTTATAATCGGCTAACTAATCGATTTGGAAAATAATCGTTAGCTGCAGCTCTAGCCCTATGTATAGCTCGGGCCTAGGATCCAAGAGGGCTGCTCAAGGATACTGGGATTGACAGGAAGACCAGTTGCTTGCAGGCACCACTGAGAGTCTGCACATCATCTCCACTATAACCTTAAAAAGATTATGCCAGGTTGGGTTTATTTTAAAAATAAATGCTTACTTAAAATTCTATATGAATATGTAAGAAAATGCCAAATTTTGTAAAGTGCGTGTTCAAGACTGAAATGTATGCAGTGGTCACTGTAAGATCTGCAGATAATGGCTGCAGTGACGCCTTCCACTGCAGTGTATAATGGATGGAGGGGATGTCTCCCTCATTGCACCTCGGAAGAGGTGACTCAGAATATTCCCACCTAACAAAGATGAACACTTCTCAAAGGATTCGCTATGCAATAGTAAAAAAAAGTACAATGAGAAAAGAGGGCAGAGACTAGCTATTGGGATCTGCTTACCCCATAATGAGGTCATAATAGTGGGAAAAGAGAGGACAGTGTTGGCCTTAGAGACTTTGAATCTTGCTGACGTTTTACAGGTCAGCAAGACAATCCGCCAAAATAAAACTCTAATCATTGTACAAATGTATTAAAGTTATCTGGTTCTTAGGTGGGCACTTTCACTACACAGAACCCCTCTGACATGCAGACTGGTCGTAGGACAACTTCAAACATCTCAGAGTTCCCGAGCCAAGGGTTGACATAGCAGAACTACCTTCAAAACATCAGAGGAGATGTCGTGTAGAGTCAAGGTCATTCCGGAGCCTTTTTTTTTTTTGTAGAAAGCCAAGACGAGAAACTGAGCTGTTATTGGATGAGGGCACTTGGCACGCGCCGACAATGCCCAAGGCCCGACCTCACCATTCTCAAAGTCATTCTGTCCTGTTGTATCTTCTTTGTTTCTTAAATATGCTGCATTCTCTGCTGGGGACAGATATGGGGGAAGGCATATCTGAGACGAGGTAGCCCATCCACTACCCAGCCTATACACCTCTTTTCCTTTTCATACCGCATTGTATAGACATTCGCCACCACCGAAAAAAAAAAAAAAAGAAGAATCATTTATAGAGAAATATAATAGACTTTAATTTTGTATCTTGATGTGAATAAAGTATTTGTGTTGGGTTTGTGCAACTGCAAAGAAGCGTGGCGTCATCTTTCTGTTGGTTGTATTTGGCTGAACATCTCAACACGAGCGTCCAACAGGATAATGTATTTCCATCACACTTATTGAAACATTTGTTGGTATTAATGTTGCAGTCCTAGATAGATGTATTTATAGGCTTATTCACAAAAGGGTGAAGGGTTGGAGAATGCAGGAGAAGTGAACAATCTAGGACAACATAGCTGACCTGGAAAGTGAGCTGAATTGGAGAATTTTTCTAAATCAGCTATGTTGTCCTAGATTGTTCACTTCTCCTGCATTCTCCAAACCCTTCACCCTTTTGTGAATAAACCTGTACGTTTTACTTTCTTACAGGGACATTATATCAGCATACGGCATTGTAGAAGGAAACATACAGCCAGATAGAACTTCCTGTTTGTCATAGACAAGCATACCTAAGCACAGAGACCAACTCTGCCCCACAGAGCCACCTACAGCCCAAAATACAATATTACTTCTCTGAATGTCAGTAATACAAATCAGTGTATGCTGTTGCATTTCCAACACTTTACACATAACTGCCATGCTTGCTGCACATTCAGAATAAAGAGGATATCCAAAAAAAGTGAACAATCTAGGACAACGTAGCTGATTTGGAAACATTCTCCATTTCAGCTCACTTTCCAACTCAGCTATGTTGTCCTAGATTGTTCACTTCTCCAAACTCTTCACCCGTTTGTGAATAACCCTGTTAGTATCCACTTTTATCAGGCGCAACTACTCATTTATACAAATGGCCAAGCACAGAAACACAGAAAAGAAGAGTGACAACAGAAAAAGTCATAGAGGTCCAACGTGTTGACTCGTTTTGTCTGAGTATAGACCTACAGTATGTTTATCCCAAGCATGCTTAAAGGAGAACTATGAGGTGAGTGCTTTTCACTTCTAGACCGACCTGTGATAATGAGACTGTCACAGGTCGACTCAGTAGATCGGGAGGTGAGCGAACACATACCGGCGTTCGCTCACCTCTCGATCCTGTCACGCCTCTGCCGTGACAGGGGAGGGGCTGGATTCCCCCCTCACCGCTCCGATCCTCCAGCGCTGACTGGCGGAGGGGGCGGGTACAGCTGGCTCTGCCTATCTAGAGGTGTCAGTCACGCAGCTGGGTGGATCCCGGCATAATTGTCGGCATCCGCTTCAGCTGCGGCGTCTCAGTATACCACGAGCAGCAGCTTGCGGTATACTGCGGGTTCTCAGTATACCGCGAGCTACAGCTCGCGGTATACTGAGCCTAGGGTGACGGGAGGACGCTAGTTTGTGTCCTCCCGTTACCCTAAGGAGAACTATGGGGAAAAGCCTGAACCCCATAGTTCTCCTTTAAAGTCACTTACTGTTGACTGACTCACTACATCAACATCAACTACTTTTTTTAGTAAAAAAAAATACTTTCTAGGGTTATTTCTAAGGTCCTCGGGTGTAACTTTCTTTCTAGTTTGAGGTCATCTACCAGTGTTCCAGCCTCCACCCCTCTAGGAGGGCAGTCAGGATTTTGAAGTGTCTGAGAATAAGTGCAATATTCAAACGGAACCTATCGCACTCCTGACTGAATAGAAACCCTTTGGAGGTGGGTGGGTGCAAAGAGTGACTACGGATGCCCCCGTGAATCAATAAATGAATGTAGAAAAGGTCACTCGCACTCCAGATTAATTTTCAGTCAATGTTTACTGACCTCTCATCGTGTCACATTGTCATGCGACGTTTCAGAAATCACGCAGTTCCGTTTTCAGGGAAACAAGTGAACAACCATCAAACAAGTGCAGCAATATACAGGTGAAACTCGAATAATTAGAATATCGTGCAAAGTTCATTTATTTCCCTAATGCAACTTAAAAGGTGAAACTAATATATGAGAGAGACTCATTACATGCAAAGCAAGATAATTCAAGCCGTGATTTGTCATAATTGTGATGATTATGGCTTACAGCTCATGAAAACCCCAAGAACCCCAAATCCACAACCTCAAAAAAGTAGATTATTACATGCAATCAATAAAACAAGGATTGTACATAGAACAATATCGGACCTCTGAAAAGTACAAGCATGCATATGTACTCAGTACTTGGTTTGGGCCCCTTTTGCAGCACTTACTGCAATTACTTTAGCACGATATTCTAATTATTCAAGTTTCACCTGTATACACACGAGTAGTGAAAACCAATAAATCAATCATCAGCAAAGTGAGAATTAGTGTTCATTCAGCCAAAAGAGGACCAATACAGGCAGTCCCCGGGTTACAAACAAGATAGGGACTGTAGGTTTGTTCTTAAATTGAATTTGTATGTAAGTTGGAACAAGTAAATGTTTTAAGTGCAACTCCAGTCCCAATTTTTTTGGGGGGGATAGCATATGGAAGGATTAACACCCTGTAAAGTCTGTTTTGCTGTGTGTGCCCTTGTTCACAAGATTTCACCTCACTTTCTGTCCCTGTGACAATTGGATTTTGAAAATTTTGGGGTTGTCGTGGAAACAAGGATTGGTGATAAAGCTTCAATGGAGACACCTTTTTCCCATGATCACTCTTACAGAAGTGAATTTTCCTTCCTAGGGGTAGATTTCCTCTCACTTCCTGTTGCCTCAAGGACAGAAAGTGAGATTAAATCTTTCTAATGAGGATGCAGACAGCAGTAAAAACCTCAGTTAACCCGGAAGAAGAGACAGGCACCCCTCGTCCGCAGGTCTAACAAGAGCCAACTTCCTGTAATGTACGTACAGTACTACGATCCAGACGCAAAAAGGTGGGCACTCCTCGGCACGAGTGCGTTAGCATTATAACTACCCCTGCTGTACAGTAATAGAATTCGTTTGTAAGTAGGAGTCGTATGTAAGTCAGATGTATGTAACCCGGTGACTGCCTGTACTGATGTTGGATGAGAAGACCCGGCTCGCAATCAGTGTTCCAATTCATCGTAAAGGTGTTCACTGTTCAGCAGTGTTGAGGTCAGAGCTCTGTGGAGGATACGATTTCCTCCACACCATACATCAGACCATGTCTTTATGGAGCTGGCTTAGTACACAGGGGCACAGTCATGGTGGACAATTCATCCCAAAAGTGTTCAGTAGGGTTGAGGTCAGGGCTCTGTGTAGGGCACTTGAGTTCCACCACATCAAACCATGTCTTTATGTAGCTGGTTTTGTACACAGTGCACAGTCATGGTGGAACAGGAAAGGGTTCTTAAGAAAACATTCACCACAAGGTTGGAAGCCCAAAAATATGTTTTTGTATGTTGTTGTATTAACAGAACCCTTCACTGGAAACACCTGAACACAATGGTTTATTTTGGGGCAATGTTGACATATGTTTGGCAGTATAATGTATTGTGTGGCCACTTACTGTCCCAGTGACAATGCTTTCCCAGACAGGAAGTGGGGGGAAATCTCTCTAATGGAGCCTCAGCAGTAAAACAATGACAGGGGTTCTAATTCTTTCCCACTATCTCTAAAACTGGAAAGTTTGGGCTGCACACACACTTTATTATAGGGTATGCATAGCCAAACCTTTGTGTGTTTTTGGATAGAGTTGGGAAGAGTTAAAACCCATTTTTGTTTTCTGCTGTCTGTATACCCACCATGTGGTTTCACTACTGCCACTTGTCCTGGTGACTAACGTTAAGTGATAGGCAATCCAAACTTCTAGAATTGTCACCAGGACAAGAGGGTAAGAGAGGTAAAATCTTCAAACACATTGATTATATTATTAGCAATAAAGCTCCATTTAAAGTGACACTGAACTCAGGAGATAAATCTTAAAAATACATTCAAGTCCCTTAACCATTAACAGCAATGTATCTTATTTGTGTATCACTCGGCTGTACATGGACTACAATCTCAATGCAAATTAGTAAACTAAACGTGAGATTGTAGTCCATCCCGGGAGCGAGCTTGGATACTGTCCTTCCTCCAGAAGGAAGGACAGTATCAGCACCAATTCAGAGATGATTGGAGGATCTACAGCCGAGTGATACACAAATAAGATACATTTTTGTTAATAGTTCAGGTCCTTAAATGTATCTTTAACATCCATTAGACATGTGCAATTCGTTTTGTTCCGAATCAAAATTGGTTCAATTTTTCCGAAATTCAGACACATCCGAATTTCCAAGTCCCAATGCACCCGAATGTGTCCAAATCTGAATTTCCGTTCCCGAGTTTTGGATCCCGTCTGAATTGCGTTCAAAAACTAAACTGAATCGGACATGTGACTTTTCTGGCCAACCAGATGTGTTTTTCGGTTTAATGCATCCCAATGGGTCTGAACACAAATTTTTGTTACGACAACATGGGAGCCATATACAGTATATAAATATAATACTAAAGCTGAGGCACCCAGACCCGAATGGCATTCAGGAGCTCCAAAATGCAATTCGGAAATTCGGATCCCGAATGCCATCCGGGTCTGGGAGATTCACCTTTAGTATTAATATCTGTATATGGTTTTCTGTGGTATTCGCAACGAATATTCGTAAACTCATGCGAAACTAACAAAATTCGGATTTCGTCCGAACCGAATTTCAGATCCGAATCCCTAAATTAGGAACAAAAGTAGCCCCTCTCCAGGAGGAAGGACAGTGTCAGCACCAATTCAGACATGATTTGAGGATCGACAGCCGAGTGACACACAAATAAGAGACATTGTTATAGTTAAAGGAGAACTATGAGGTGAGTTCTAGCCGACCTGTGACAATGAGACTGTCACAGGGCGGGTCAGTAGATCGGGAGGTGAGCGAACACATACCGGTGTTCGCTCACTTCTCGATCCTATCATGGCTCTCTGCCGTGACAGGGGAGGGGCTGGATTCCCCCCTCCCCGCTCTGATCCGCCAGCGCTGACTGGCGGAACGGACGGGGAGGGGGCGGGTACAGCTGGCTCTGCCTCTAGATAGGCAGAGCCAGCTGTCATTCACGCAGCTGGGCGGATCTTGACATCGATGTTGGGATCCGCTCCGGCGTCTCAGTATACAGAGAGCTGTAGGTCGCGGTATACTGAGCTTAGGGTGACGAGAGGACGCTAGTTTGTGTCCTCTCGTTACCCTAAGGAGAACTACGGGGAAAACCCCTAACCCCATAGTTCTCCTTTAAGGCTTTCCCCATAGTACTCCTAAGGGTAACGGGAGGACACAAACTAGCGTCCTCTCGTCACCCTAAGCTCAGTATATAGCGAGCTACAGCTCGCGGTATACTGAGACGCCGCAGCCGGAGCGGATCCCGACATCGATGTCAAGATCCGCCCAGCTGCGTGAATGACAGCTGGCTCTGCCCATCTAGAGGCAGAGCCAGCTGTACCCGCCCCTCCCCTGTCCGTTCCGCCTGTCAGCGCTGGAGGATCGGAACGGGGAATCCAGTCCCTCCCCTGTCACGGTTCTCTGCCAGCACAGGATCGAGAGGTGAGCGAACGCCGGTATGTGTTCGCTCACCTCCCGATCTACTGAGCCGACCTGTGACAGTCTCATGGAAATCACTCACCTCATAGTTCTCCTTTAAGGTTCTTGAATGTATTTTTAACATTCATCTCCTGAGTTTAGTGTCCCTTTAAGTGTCACAGTGTCCCAGAGTATCATTGGTGACCATTCTCAGCCCTCTATGGGTCCTAAATCTGTGTACCTTATAAAGTGGCCACCGACTGTAGATAGATCACATAGACTGACAGACGGATGGACATGACACGAGATAGGAAATTGGTTCTTTGTATCATCAAACATTTTAGAAATGATTGCACACAGTGAGATCTTTAATAAAAGTCGTCTAGTTTATTATAGTAAAGTCTTTGTATGATACACACGTATTCCTCTTTTCTGATGAGACATTTCAATGTGACACAGCGATGCTGAATCTTGCCCACTGAGCCATTATTATCACAATCACAGTCCCTCAGCACTGTTCACCGTAAAGCATAAATAACTAAGCAATGTCCTTAGACTCCGCAAGCTCTCCTTTATATAAATATGTAGAATAGTCCCAGTCACACAGTCCCGCTTCTGTATATACATGTCCCTTGGGTCCAGCCCCTTTAAAATCCAGCAAGTGCTACATCCCACCCCAAAGCATCCAAAATGAAAAGTCTTATTCCAGTGTAGTGGACAGGGATCCCCTGAATCTTTCAAGATGGTACAGCCCACATGCCAATGCCGCCTCGCAGGGAAGGTGTATTGTGCGGGGGGGCGGGGGGAAAGCTTGCCTGTGCTCCCCTGGCACCCCACCCCTGCCAGCGACGGTAACAGAAGTGTATGTGACTCCGATCTCAGAACACACCTAGTGAGAGAAGCAAGACATTCAGTAGGCAAATAATTCACAGGTGTGTGTGTGTAAACAACAATCAGCAGACAGTTTAAGGATATTTATGGTACATTCAACATTAAAGAAAACTCTAGGAAGACATAAGCTGATAGGAGGAGAGAGCAGAGAGATGAGCTTGTTGCCGTGCTGCTTCTGCTTCACTGCCCAGTCACAAGCTGGGGATGAGCCCATGACAGCATGGTGTCAGAACAAGTGGGTTGAACAATGATGGCCGTCATTCAACACAGAAGACTGAGGACATCTTGTGGTAGAAAAGAAGAACTGCAGATCAACTGCAAGTTTGGCAGCAAAAGTTGTTCTTTTTGTTTTTTCATTTTAATGGACGTTTCATTTTGGTATTTTTGGTTTGTGTTCTGCTTTAAAGCCCACGACACCCTACCTCAGGGTTAGTCAACCTTGGCATCAGTGGTGTCACAAGGGGGGTGCGGCCCACGCCGGTTGACACCATCATCGGGGGTTAACACCAAAATGACTAACAATCATTTTGGTGTCACCCCCTCTAAAAAGTCAGGCACTCGGTCATGGACCGGGAGCCCGACAGCTGCAGGAGAGAGGAGGGGACCCGGCAGCATACCTTATCCTGCCAGATTAATGTCCCCTCCTCTCCTTTGTCCATCACTAAGTTGGCCGCCAGCAGTAAAGTGCACGTGTCATGCGTACACATAATGACGTGGGTGCCTGGTGACACCCGGCCTGGTGATGCCCCTGCTTGGCACTTCAGCTATTGTGGGACTAAATGTCCCATGAGGCATTGCAAGACTCGGACAGCCACAGGTATGACTCCCAGAGGCAGAGGCATTTGTAGCTTTCCAAAAGCAGGTGTGCCAAGGTTGCCTTCCCCTTGTGATGCGACTCAAGAACATTTAAAGTCATCCCCTCTAGGAAACCTGGTGATATATTTCCTGCAGAGAGCAGCCAAGATACATGTCACTGTCTATCCTTCTGTCAAAATCCTGGGTAGTGGGCAAAATGAGGAAGGGCTTAACCAGGACTGCAGCTAACGATTATTTTTATAATCGATTAGTTGCCCGATTAATCGATTTGTTGCATTAACCCCCCAGCTAATCGATTATGAGAATAGTTACCAACTATTCTCATAATCGATTAGTTGTTGCGGCCCGACTTAAATCTGAACTCTAGCTAGCAGATCAATGCAAAGTCCATACACTCATATGGGAGGATCTGAATTCCTCGTCATCCAGCCCTGAGCTTTACACAGACAGATAGCAGAGCCAGGCTGGTGACCTGGCTCTTCTCCACTGCAGATATAGGATGCAGCTTGGTCATCTCTCCACACCCAGCCTGTGACCGGAAAGTGAAGGTGCAGTGACATTCTGATGACCTCATCCCTCTGCTCTCTCCTCCTGCCAGCATGTTCTTTCTCAGGACATATGCATGTAGCACAGAGGATTGGCTCCTCGTTTCCCTCCCTCTCTGGGTCTTAGCACTACAGATACATCTGGTAACTGCAGTAAGGGATCCGTGTAATACATGACGTCGTTATTTCTTATATCTGCCCAGAGTTCAGCAGTTCCATCGTTCTTCACACCATTCACTTCAATGAAACCAGTGGAAGGATGAACAGTAATGTAAATAGAAGATCTTGTTCACAACAAACAGAGATCATTAGGCAACTGTGTGGACATCCCCTAAAAAATGTCAGTGTAGCTCATCGGGGCTCCTATATAAAATTGGGGCAAAGGAAACATGTCAGGAATGGAGTAGAATTATATTCACACATCTATATTAAAGGACACGTCTACATTTAAAGGACAGCCGCTGTATTATACGTCCAGGGAGAAGTAATCAATCATCAGATTTATACTCTTGTCTCTGCCCTGTGCTCCCCTACAGTACTGACTAATGTAAAGAATGCATAGTTTACATTCAGCCTGTCTGCAGTCTCCACTGTACAATGTAGAAAGAATAAGTAAACACTGCATTGTCTACATTCAGCCTGTCTGCAGTCTCCGCTGTACAATGTAGAAAGAATAAGTAAACACTGCATTGTCTACATTCAGCCTGTCTGCAGTCTCCGCTGTACAATGTAGAAAGAATAAGTAAACACTGCATTGTCTACATTCAGCCTGTCTGCAGTCTCCGCTGTACAATGTAGAAAGAATAAGTAAACACTGCCACCTGAGCAAGGAAAATGAGGAAAACATGACCAGTTAGGAGGACCTGAGGACTGGAGCTGGACGGCTTTATAATAAGCAAACTGCTTCTCAGCGAGAGATCTGCTCAGGGAGACATTGGCCATCCACATCGGGGGTCCCTGGCGATGCACATCAGCACACCCTGGCCGTCCAAATGGAGGGACCTTGGCCATCCACATGGGGAGACCTTGGCCATCCGCATGGGGAGACCTTGGCCATCCACATCGGGAGGTCCTGGCCATCCACATCGGGAGGTCCTGGCCATCCACATCTTCTTGTTGAAAGTGAAAAAGCCCTCTAAAGCAGAACTCCTGGCAAACAAGGAAAACATCATTAAATCCATTTATTATTTGAAGAACTGCTAGTGCAAGTACCTGACACCTGTCTTTATCTTAGCTTCTCATATTGTGAAAACGAGCCTCGGGCTGTGAGAGGGAGGGACAGCAGTGTGCGCTGTGCTATCTAAAAATGAAAGCTTGCTGAGGAGCACATCCCGCAATGCGGCTTCCACACGCGTGTAGTGGTGCACCACGACATACAGTAACTAAATTACCATACATTGTGCTGCATTGCCAAAAATGGTGCATGTCCAATTCTGTGGACGTTCTGGTACCTTTTCGCAACACAACGCACCATCCTGCAAACTTGTGAACCTTTGTTAGCGCATGAGCCCTGCTGCACCACTCACTAGCTGCTTGTGCTGCTTCTCCCTCTACCAGTCTGAGCACTGCTATGTTGCAAGAAGGTGATCCTGAGTGAAAATACATGGAATGCTATATTAATACATACAGAGCTTACTATGCGTCTTTTATATCTGCCTGGAGTTTAGCTGTAAAGTGCATCTTAATTTCCGATTCATTTTATACAGGAGCCCCTATACATTTAGGGGAGGACTTGGCTAAATGGGGAATTGCTTGGCACAAAACTACAAGGCCGCTAGGATGTCACAATAAGACATCGTAAATGGTGCCAGCATCCAGGTATATGATGTTCTGAAGGCATTTATGTGTTTACATTAGAAAAGTTCAAGTGGTTTGGACAGCTTAGCTGGAGGCCGGTCCCTGATGACCAGAGGGAGAGCAGAGAGACCGGTCCCTGATGACCAGAGGGAGAGAGCAGAGAGACCGGTCCCTGATGACCAGAGAGACCAGTAGGCCGGTCCCTGATGACCAGAGGGAGAGAGCAGAGAGACCAGTAGGCCGGTCCCTGATGACCAGAGGGAGAGAGCAGAGAGACCAGGAGGCCGGTCCCTGATGACCAGAGGGAGAGAGCAGAGAGACCAGGAGGCCGGTCCCTGATGACCAGAGGGAGAGAGCAGAGAGACCAGGAGGCCGGTCCCTGATGACCAGAGGGAGAGAGCAGAGAGACCAGGAGGCCGGTCCCTGATGACCAGAGGGAGAGAGCAGAGAGACCAGGAGGCCGGTCCCTGATGACCAGAGGGAGAGAGCAGAGAGACCAGGAGGCCGGTCCCTGATGACCAGAGGGAGAGAGCAGAGAGACCAGGAGGCCGGTCCCTGATGACCAGAGGGAGAGAGCAGAGAGACCAGGAGGCCGGTCCCTGATGACCAGAGGGAGAGAGCAGAGAGACCAGGAGGCCGGTCCCTGATGACCAGAGGGAGAGAGCAGAGAGACCAGGAGGCCGGTCCCTGATGACCAGAGGGAGAGAGCAGAGAGACCAGGAGGCCGGTCCCTGATGACCAGAGGGAGAGAGCAGAGAGACCAGGAGGCCGGTCCCTGATGACCAGAGGGAGAGAGCAGAGAGACCAGGAGGCCGGTCCCTGATGACCAGAGGGAGAGAGCAGAGAGACCAGGAGGCCGGTCCCTGATGACCAGAGGGAGAGAGCAGAGAGACCAGGAGGCCGGTCCATGATGACCAGAGGGAGAGAGCAGAGAGACCAGGAGGCCGGTCCCTGATGACCAGAGGGAGAGAGCAGAGAGACCAGGAGGCCGGTCCCTGATGACCAGAGGGAGAGAGCAGAGAGACCAGCATAGAAGGAAGACAGGCAGCTACATGCAGACAGCTAGAGAGAGGCTTCCAGCGGGTTAGTGCAATGAGTGTTGAGCACAGATCCGGATAGAGGAGTGTTAAGCCACTCTACAGAGCAGGCAACACACAAAACTCGTCCCTTAAGTGGCTTTTGAACTGCCAGCTCATCAGTTTCATATGGTCAGCACTGGGCTGCTTTAAACCATTGAGGAGCAGGCAGAGCATTGGTGCGTAGAGACGGAAGTATAACATACTCCAGGGCACTGGACGATCTCTGACACCTCTTCAGCAAATACAAAATCTTGGCTTACACTAGCAGAGGTAACATCTATTTTTTCTCTTTTTCTCGTCCTTCTTTGGGCTATTTACCTCCCCACTAAATTTGACTCCTCGAATGTCATCATTCGGCCTCGGCTGTTGCTTTACCGCATCCCAGTTTGGGCTCTGGTAGTCCTTCGGCTGCTCTGCTGCCACCTGCTGGTGCCTTAGCTGATCTGTCATCACTTGATGATGCCTTAGTTGGTCGGCTGCCCCCAACTGATGCCTTAGCTGATCTGCAGTCACCTGATGATGCCCCAGCTGGTTTGCTGCCCCCAACTGGTGCCTTAGCTGATCTATGGTCACCTGATGATGGCTCAGTTGGTCTGCTGCCACCTGCTGGTGCCTTAGTTGACCTGCAGTTGCCTGTTGATACCTTAGCTGGTCTGCTGCTCCCTGCTGGCGCCTTAGCTGATCTACAGTTACCTGATGATGCCTTAATGAATCTGCGGCCATTTGCTGGTGCCTTAGCTGATCTGCAGTCAACTGGCGTCTCAGCAGATGTGCTGCCTGTCTCTGCTCCCTCAGCTGCCCCATTACCTCCTGTGCCTGCCCTCTCCCCGCTTTCTGTGTAATTTTCACACCTGCTTGGTGCTGCCCGGCAGCCTCCATTTCGGAGAGGCTGTAGGCCATGGCCAGTTGCAGATCCTCATCTTCGTCATCGCTGTCCAGCACCATGTAAGCGGGGCCGGCGCTCTGGGATCGCTGGATGTTGTGTGGTGACCCCCTGGCATGGTTGTTGGGGTTTTGCATCTTTGTCTGGTGATCCCGTTTGCTCATCTCTAGGGCCAAGGCAAGTTCATCTTCAACCCCTGCAAAATAACCACAGAGATGTCAGGACTTAGAGCAAACTTTCATCTCTGAGATGATCATTTGTCACAACGATCAGAATACATCTGTATGTTCATGAACACAGTAAACAACCTCTGACCTACCAGTCTCAGTGGGAAAACAGATTATAATGCATTTCTTTCAGGTGACTACTATTGTTCCGCGCCAAGGTGGGAGCCAGAGGTGTCTGGCGGGACATAATCATCCTGCATGGCATCCTGCAATTTAGGACTTCTCTTATCGTTAAGTTCTAACCAAAATTGTTATTTTTATGTTATTCTTAGGTATAGTGCAAAGATATCAGAACCTCTAACGTGCTTTTGATTCTGTTGAGTAGACTGCCCGTCACTTTTTGTCACGGTGACCACAGTAGAAGCAAGGGAAATCTTCCCTCAGGGGACATAAAGAGCAATGGAAACCTAACAGAAGTATTTACTGATGCCTGTTTCCCTTTTGGAGAGATTTCATGCATGGTCACCTGGACACAAAGAGAGATGAAATCTCCCCAATGGGAAGATAAACAGCAATAATAGCCAACCAAAAGTCTTACCTGGAGTTCCACTTTAAGTATAAAACACAGTACCATGGGGAAGGAATGACACCAAGGCAGCTGACTGCTCCTTGCTGAGCTACACGCCCAAACCCCATCCCTTCCCAAAAGAATGAAGCTGATCAGTTTTAAGGTCCCCACACACCTTACGATTATCGTACGATAATCGTGGGAAATCCCGTGATCGTACGATTATCGTAAGGTGTGTGGAAGCCGTGCGACCTCTACTACTGTAAGGTTGCACGACTTTTAACTTACGGACATGTTCAAAAACCCGCCGAGCATCGTACGATGTTCGGCGGGTTTGAGGCATGTCCGTACGATAAAAGCCGCACGGGGCGGTGTGCGCAAGCGCACACTGCCCGTTAGGCATTGCGTTCATCGGAAGCCCGCCCCTCAGGGGGCGTGGCTTGCGATCGCAAGTACGATCTGCCTATGCAAGATAGGCAGATCGTACGTTTTTTAAAGTACCTTACAACCATCGCAAGACAAAAGTCTTGCGATGGCTGTAAGGTGTGTGCCCAGCCTTAGGGTTTCCACCCTGTTTGATTGCCCACCAGGTTTCCACTACAACTGGTGACTCCAATCAGGAAAAGCTTCCCTCACTGCCTGTGATCTGAAATTCTAGGACAGTTAGGCTGGGGAGGGAAGTAAAGCTGGCCATACACTGATCTATTTTTTTCATTCAATGGAAAACTTAGACCCGATTCCTCCATCGACACAAACAGCGCGTCGATCGAGGAATCCCTGCGGTTTACATTGTATTCGGACAGGAGCTGTCGGCCCCTGTTAGAATACCCGACCAGAGCAGGCAGCTCATTGGTTGCCGGGTTTGATCGATCGAAGATTTTCTGACTGGCTCCTTCAGCTGATTGAGGGATGCTGATCGAAAAGGATGTCCGACAGCCCCACACTGTCCGGTTCCTCAAAAACCAGCCGAAATCCGAACAGTGTATGGGCACCTTTAAGCTCACAGTGTGCAGTGAAATCAGAGTAACGAAAATGTAATATGGGAAAAGAGAGGGGTTCAATTTCCCCCCCCCAGTGATAATTCATCTTCACCATAAAGACCATCTTGGAAGAGATATCTACTTGGTTCACTATTGCTCTGGCTGCTGAAGTGACTTTAAATGGGCACAAGCCCAAGTTCTGATCCCTCTCACTCTTTCCTCCATCTTCTTTTATTTCTCACCTAAATCTTCTGCTTCCTTCTACTAGTTCCCCTGCACTGAGCTACAAGGATGACCATCCCCTATAACCCACGCCAGCTGGAATAATGGTCCGGACACTTGAAAAATCCACTACACAGCCTTGGACCTAGCAACATAACGTTTGCAATGGCGAGCAGTCATTGATTAGCGTGGCCACATGACCATGCTGACCAATGAGAATCTCTACTTTCTTCCCTGAAAAAAAGAAGACTCAGAAGGGAATCTCATTCTCACACCAGGAACCGGAGGTGGCGGGGGGTGAGAAGGGTGTTATGGTTAGGTCACCTTTTCATTTTTTTACCTAACCCTTTAAAGGTGAACTATGGGGTTAAGGCTTTTCCCCATAGTTCTCCTTAGGGTAATGGGAGGACACAAACTAGCGTCCTCCCGTCACCCAAAGCTCAGTATACCGCGAGCTACAGCTCACGGTATATGGAGACGCCGCAGCTGAAGCGGATCCCGACAATTATGTCTGGATCCGCCCAGCTGCGTGAGTGACAGCTGGCTCTGCCTATCTGGAGGCAGAGCCAGCTGTACCCGCCCCTTTCCCCCGTCCGTTCTGCCAGTCAGCGCTGGCGGATCGGAGCGGGGAGGGGGGAATCCAGCTCCTGCCCTGTCACAGCAGAGAGCCGTGACAGGATCGAGAGGTGAGGGAACCCGGTATGTTTTCCCTCACCTCCCGATCTACTGAGCCGACCTCTGACAGTCTCATTGTCACAGGTCGGCTAGAACTATGAGGTGAGTGAAAAGCACTCACCTCATAGTTCTCCTTTAAGGTATATATGAGGCTTATATTGAAAAACATATGTACAGGGAGGACAGAAATAGAACTGATTACACTAGAAAGTAAATGGCGAGTACTGTAGATGCAAGTTTTATTAGTGACTTATGACAGAACGCTCTTTGTAGCTGATAGGTCTTCTGTTCTAACTTTCAGCTTAAGGATTCACGGGTATATCCTTACCATTGACCTGGATGGACTTCAGCTGGCCGTCCTCCTCCACCTCCACCCGTTCCACTCCATTTTCTACTATCCTGTACATGGGAAAAGGACACAATGACTTGGACTATCGAGACAAATATAAACAAAACCCAGAAGAAGTAAATGTAACCATTTTATTGGCTGGTATTCAAGAGCTTCCGGCCTAAGATCCTGAGAGCGCTTGGGCTTTATCTACTCTGAAGCAGGCCGTACACATCATAGTCTGATTCTGCAATGTTTGTACAATCTCCTTTAAATCTGCCAAAACCATGTAAGAGCCCGTCTAAACACTCCCTTCCTACTGTATCAAAATAGACAGACCCTTACACTACATAGTTATTGGAAGATCTAAAGAAGACGGTAGTCAGATTGTGACGTGTATGATCATTTTAAAGCTGAACTCTACATAAACATATGAAATACATAAGAGGGAGCTTACACAGCTCTTTCTGGCAGGACAGGAGACCTGAGCTCCAGTTCAGCAACACTTACAGGTCTTGTTTCTCCCCCAGCCAGTAAAAGAAGAAGCAGCTCATTGATAAGCTCATCTCTCTGCCAGTCTGCTCTCCCCTCCTGTCAGAATGTTCTTTGCACTGTAGCACAACCAAATGGGTCCTTGTGCTACTTCTTCCTCTCCCAGTTGGGGCCGTGCTGCAGTGGCGTCACAAGGGGGGTGCGGCCTGCACCCGGTTGACACCATTGGAGGGGTGACACCAAAATGACTTGGTCATTTTGGTGTCACCCCCCTCTGAAAAGTTGGGCGCTCGGTCATGGACCGAATGCCCGACAGTATCAGGAGAGAGGAGGGGACCCGGCAGCATACCTTATCCCGCCGGGTGACTGTCCCCTCCTCTCTCTGCCGGCGTCCATCACCAAGATGGCCGCCGGCAGGTATCAGAATACTGCCGCGCATGCGCGGTGACGTCTTGGCGGGAATGACACTCGGTTACCGCTCCGGGTGTCACCCAGCCTCGGGACGCCCCTGCCGTGCTGTACAGGTACCACACAATGCTGCTACTAAGCAAAATTCAGGCAATAATACTACTTGCATTAAAAAAAAAATTAAAACATTGAAATGGTGTACTAATGAATGCAGAGCTGCCAAATGTGTCTTTTATATCTGCCTGGAGTTCAACTTTAAGAACAAACACATTAGAAGGTTGATAAGATTCAAGCAGGTCCTCCAAAATAACAACTGTGGAGTGAAAATTTAGACAGTTTCTGGCAAGACAATAAAGATGCTCCTTGCTCAGCCATTACCAAGTTCTTAAAGTGACACTAAACTCAGGTGTTAAGTCTTAAAAATACATTCAAGATCCTCAACAATGTATATTATTTGTGTGTCACTCGGCTGTAGATCCTCCAATCATCTCTGAATTGGTGCTGACACTGTCCTTCCTTCTGAAGGGGGGCTACTTTTGTCCCCCATGGTCCCTGTGTGTGTTGTAAAGTAGTCACCGCTCCAAGCTCACTCCCGGGATGGACTACAATCTCATGTTTAGTTTACTGGTTTGTATTCAGATTGTAGTCCATCCCGGGAGTGAGCTTGGAGCGGTGACTACTTTACAACACACACAGGGACCATGAGGAACAGAAGTAGCCCCCCTCCGGAAGGAAGGACAGTGTCAGCACCAATTCAGAGATGATTGGAGGATCTACAGCCGAGTGACACACAAATAAGATACATTGTTGTTCATAGTTGAGGATCTTGAATGTATTTTTAAGATTTAACTCCCGTGTTTAGTGTCACTTTAATTATGAAAAGGTCCACATAACTTTAACCCACACACAAGGCACCTACGCTCACTTGATACCCACCGTTTGGTTGTTATTCGTTTGCCATTTATAAATTTAGTTGAGGTGGAAACAGAACAGACGTTCCCGGCCATACCAAACCCATTACTTCCAAAAGATGAGAAAGATGAGAACACTGCAGAGAGAAAAATCGAATGATTGTTAACACAAGATGAGTTGAAAGATGAGATATGACATGATTTAGGGAATGGCAGCGTGTCCACGTCCAAGACATCTAAGATATATTCTAAGGGGGTCTTTTACATCAGTTACTGTTACTTATCTTCACTGCTGGAGCAAAAGCCAGATAACTGCAAAAAGGGAAGGCAGGGAGTTCATTCGCCTTATCGTTTTAGATCAGGGGTAGCCAAACTCCGGCCCTCCAGCCGTGGTGGAACTACAAATCCCATGAGGCATTGCAAGATTCTCACAGCCACGACTCCCGGAGAGAGATGCATCATGGGATTTGTAGGTTCACCACAGCTGGAGGGCCGGAGTTTGGCTACCCCTTGTTTTAGGTGAACCAACCCTTTAAACTTCACACCATGGTGTGCAGAAATACTGCGGGGTTTAGCAGGGAGTGGATAGCGGTGTCTGCTTTCTGTTATACATCGGCTGAGCGAGCACAGCATTGTTCTGTCTGGGTCTCCTTTCTTAAAGTAACCCCTTAGTGTTGGAAAAAAAAACAGGACAAGCTGGCCTTACCTCTAGTAGCAGGAAAAGCGTCCGAAAAAAATGGAGAGGAGCGAGTGTGATGCATTTCAGGAAACAGAAATTCATCCCCTTCAAAGAAGAAAACAGGAGTTAAAAGCAATCAGTGATTCATATCTTACACATACCGGCGTTCGCTCACCTCTCGATCCTGTCACGGCTCTCTGCCGTGACAGGGGAGGTGCTGGATTCCCCCTCCCCGCTCCGATCTGCCAGCGCTGACTGGCGGAACGGACGGGGGAGGGGGCGGGTACAGCTGGCTCTGCCTCTAGATAGGCAGAGCCAGCTGTCAGTCACGCAGCTGGGCGGATGCCGGCACATTTGTCGGGATCCGCTTCAGCGTCTCAGTATACCGCGAGCAGCAGCGCGAGAAGCAAACATCAGGGTGGTATTATTTCACCACAGCTCTGAAGTGATGTTGTGTTCCATAGGAATGAAGGGGTGGTATTGATGTGATCTGGTGTTGTCTGCTGTGTTTACATCTATGTGATCAACATAACAATAAGTTACAGATTTTCCATTAATCTCTGCATAATCATTAGGGATACACAGATACCGTTACTAGTATAGGTATCAATGCGGATACCGAGTATTTGGGGGGGTACTCGCCCAAATGCTCCGATACTTATCCCGATACTAGAACTTCCAGTCAGAGGGAGATTTCCTCTGACCGACAGTGCCGCGAGGGAACATGGAGCCGGCTCCCCTGACAAACAGGAAGCTGAGCCGCGGGTAATGACTCGCGACCCGGTGTTCTATCGAAAGCTCCGACTTTTCGAGCTCTCCGACTGGTGACGTCACATCCGATGACTGCCAGGAGGAGATCTACACCAGATTGAGCTACTGCGCGTGCCCATGGAATCAATGCTGAATTCTCTAATTATTGCCACTGCGCCTGCGCGGCTATCGGCTCATCAGATTCTAGAACTTAGTACAATGTTATATTTGTCGTAGGTTATGGGAGCTGATGAGCCAATAGCCGCGCAGGCACAGTGGCAACTGTGGCTATCGGCTCATCGGATTCTATAACCTAGTGCAAACTGATATTTGTCCTACGTTATAGAAGCTGATAGCCGCAGTGCCGAGTGTGGTTATAGAATTTGACGGCGACGCGCAGGGGCAATAGATCGAGGTTTTGGACACGGACTCCATGGGCATGCGCAGTAGCTCCATATGGTGTAGATCTCCTACTGGCAGTCACCGGATGTGACGTCACCAGTCGGAGAACTCGAGAAGTCAGACATTTTCGATAGAACATCGGCTTCCTGATTGGCCGGGAAAGGAGCTCTATGCTGTTTTGGCCGGCTTGATGCTGATTGGCCGGGAAGCCGGCTTTCCAGCCAATTAGCATCAGGAAGCCGAGCCACGGGTCATAGCCCGGCTTTCTGATTGCCTGGGAAGCCGGCTCCATGGTAGCAGAAGTACCGGTATCGGCACTCAGTATCGGCGAGTACCGAAATCTAAATATTGGTACTCGTACTAGATATCGAAAAACAGGTATCGGTGCATCCCTACTGATCAGTATAGAACTCTCCTCAGACATTTCAGATATTTTTAAAGCCATGAGAATTTTTATTTCAAGTCACTTGGATAGTCGCCATGCACCATCCCCCCAGCACACAGACTTTGCCAGAACCCCCTTTAAGAAACTGAGCAGCCTGAATATTAGTAACAATTCTGTATAGAAGGTATCTGTGGACTTACCAAAGAAGTCAGAGAAGGGGTCTCGTCCACCAAAGAATTCCTGGAATACCTCCTCTGGGCTCCGGAATGTGTAGGCATATTCATGGAACCGGCATCCTCCTGAGCTGGATCGGGGCTCTGTGCGGGAGACAGATCAAAGAAACACGTTTCAAATTATCTATACACTGAGTGGCCAGATTATTATGACCACCTGACGTTTGTAGGCAAATTAGCTATGATTTGGCGCTGAAGTTGCTAGAGGGCCAAACCATTATAAATAGGGAAGCAGGTTGGTTACCACGACAGTAGAAGTGATTTGTTTCTGAAGATACGGGGAAACAACGCGATTTAACAGCCTTTGAACGTGGGATGATTGTTGGCGTTCGGAGCCATGGAGCGAGTATCAGCAAAACAGCAGAATTGGTTAAATGTTCAAGAGGGGCTCATTGTTAAAGTGTTTAAAGACCGGACTGTCAGCCGAAAATCTGGGTCTGAACGTGCGGATTGTGGCCGCCAGCGACTAGTCAATGTTAGGGCAGAACGAGGGAGGGGCAAGACTGGTACAAGACAACAGAAGGGCAACAGTGCCGTGTCAGATTCCTCACATCACCTTTCAACATCTCGTGGAGTCACGAGGCGGCCCAACGAAGTACTGATGGGGTGGTCATAATAATCTGGCCACTCAGTGTATATATCAACATGCCGGCTGTTATAAGATCGCAGGCTGCCAAATCAGTTGCTGAAGAGCTCTGCGCATTCTCACACACTGGACAAGACGGTATCCAATGTCCTGCCATCACAGTCCTGATACATGTTCTCACTTAGTAAGCCCTGATGAAGGGGGCATTTGTATGAGCCCTCAAAGCGTGTTGGCTATTTCTGTACTGTCCCGTCAACTCTACATTGAATAAAGATGTATCTGGACTATTAAAGTGCGGGGCTTCAATTCACAATCCTGCAAGGTGATCCACGCAAGTGATGCAATGGGTGGCAACAATCAGGTCATGTCTGGGATACCAGCAGAGCCAAGAAAGAGCACCTCTGATGATCACAAGCATTTCTTGTCACAAACAGACATTGGGGGGAGTTTATGAAAACTGGAGCGAACAGAATCTGGAGCAGTTGCCCATGGCAACCAGTTTCTTTGTTCAGTTAAGATTTGAAAATGCAAGAGAGATGCTTATTGGTTGCCGTGCACAGCTGCTCCAGATTCTGTCTGCTCCGGGTTTTGATAAATTCCCCCCATTGCTTCTTACTGGAAAATCTGCAAAAGCTTTCAGAAATTTTCCTTTTTTTCCTCAGCCCACTAGGTGTATGGGTCGGCCCTACACATTATACTGCCGCTAAGTATGTGGACACCGCTGTAAATGACTGAGTCCAGATGTCTCCAGTGCAGGGTACTGTTAAAGGAGAACTATGGGGTTAAGGCTTTTCCCCATAGTTCTCCTTAGAGTAACGGGAGGACACAAACTAGCGTCCTCTCGTCACCCTAAGCTCAGTATGCCGCGAGCTGCAGCTCGCTGTATACTGAGACGCCGCAGCTGAAGCGGATCCCGACAATTATGTCTGGATCCGCCCAGCTGCGTGAGTGACAGCTGGCTCTGCCTATCTGGAGGCAGAGCCAGCTGTACCCGCCCCCTCCCCCGTCCGTTACGCCAGTCAGCGCTGGCAGATCGGAGCGGGGAGGGGGGAATCCAGCCCCACCCCCCACGGCAGATAGCCTGACAGGATCGAGAGGTGAGAGAACGCCGGTATGTGGTCGCTCACCTCCCGATCTACTGAGCCGACCTGTGACAGTCTCATTATCACAGGACGGCTAGAACTATGAGGTGAGTGAAAAGCACCCGCCTCATAGTTCTCATAGTTCTCCTTTAATGCTACACCATACAAACACATTGTAGACAATTGTGCTCTTCCGACCTTGTGGTAACAGTTTGGGGAAAGTCCTTTTCTGTTCCACCATGACTGGACCCCTGTGCACAGCCTTATAGACATGCTTTGATGGGCTTGGTGTGGAGGAACTTGAGTAACAAGCACGAAGCCCTGACCTCAACCCTACTGAACACCTTTGGGATGAATGGGAACAGCACTTGTGAGCCGGATCTTCTCATCCAACATCTGTACCTGACCTCACAAATGGGCACAAATTCATAAAGACACCCAGGGCCGGATTCCCCACAAGGCCACCGAGGCCATGATCTCAGGGCGGCAGGGAGTAGAGGGGTGGCACAGCCGATACTGGCCCCACGGGTGTGGAATTCCTATCGCCCGACGCCCGGGACATGGAGATTTCGACGCTGGTCGGGTAGGTTATTTCTACGGTTCTATCCCAACACAACCTAACCACTGAACCGTCACAATCTCAAACAATTCATCCCCACACAGCCACCTCCTCATGTGTCACTTCCCATTCCCTTTTAGATTGTAAGCCCTCAGGGACAGGGCCCTCCTTACCATCTTGTCTTGAATTGTATTGTGATTGTAATGTCCTCCTTATATTGTAAAGCGTAATACATTTAGCCCTGCTTCAGGGGGACCCGGGACCTCGGCAAAGTAGTTCAGGGTGGAGAGTAGGGAGCAGAGCGGAGAATGTACGTTCTCCGCTCAGCTCCGTGTGAACACTGAGATGGAAGAGCTGCACTGGCAGCCTTCCCCTCTCAGCTGTCACAGGAGAGCCAGCACAGCGCTGTGCTCAAACTCCGGTATTGGAGGTGACAGGTTCAATAAAGAGAACCTGTCACCTCCCCATGCTATCACACAGGGGATTGTTAGCTCCTGTGTGATAGCAATAAAGGTAAGTGAAAGATATACTCAAGATATGACTATTATCTGTAGACTACTCACCAGGTCCTGAGAATCCCGCTTTCCCATAACGATCATAGGTCTCCCGCTTTCCCGCTGATGGGGAAGAAAGACAAACTGATTGTTAGGAAAAACGCACTACAGGTTATGTCATCTGATAGGAAACGGGCACAAAGCCGTACTTACCATCTGATAACACTTCGTAGGCCTCTGCAATGTCTTTGAACTTTTTCTCTGCCAGCTCTTTATTGTCAGGGTTCTTGTCGGGGTGCCACTTTAATGCCAGCTTCCTATATCTGTGAGGAGCCAAGCCGATAAGACAACATTGATTGCATTTCCTATGGTGTCATAACTAGATCAATGCCGAAAATCTAGAATACTCTATTTGGGAACATAAATGTTCATTGTTAAAGTTGATCTAAACCAAAACAATAATATATCACATACAGTATATAAGAGTTATCGTATTAAGTCATTCTACATTTCTTTCCATCTTTTTATACATGCAGCGTTCATTGAAATAACAGCTGGTGATCCTGCCATGGAGGCCCTTGTTCAGGCACTTCCTGTGGGGTGACAACTGTCTACCATTTGTGCTCCAGTGCAGGGGCGTCCCGAGGCTGAGTGACACCCAGTACCTAAACCGGGTGACACCCCGCCGTGTCGTCATCACGCATGCGTGGCCATCTGATTGACGCCTGCCGGCGTCCATCTTGGCGATGGACGCCGGCAGAGAGAGGAGGGGACGTTGACCCGGCGGGATGAGGTATGCCGCTGGGTCCCCTCCTCTCTCCATGACCGAGTGCCCAACTTTTTAGAGGGGGTGACATCAAAATTACTGCCAGTTATTTTGGTGTCACCCCTGCAATGGTGTCACCCGGGATTCTGCAGGAAGCTAAAACTTTTAAGCATCAAGGTGCAGCATCCATTGCAATGTATACAACACGTATCTCTTTCCATACTGGAACCCCATTCTAGACCCGTGAGACAGTTTAATACTCCATCCACACACTGATATGAAGTACATCTCTTAGGCAGCAGTTTCTGCATTGTTTGAAGACTTACGCCCGTTTGATGTCGTCCTGGCTGGTGTTCCTGGGCACTCCGAGAATTTCATAGTAATCACCCATGATTCTGTGCTCTGAGAAGCTTCTGGAAGGGACAAGAAGGAGATGAGCTGACGTTCACCATGGTACAGTGTCCCCAGTCACACACAAGGACATAACATATATAACCCTCTAGAGGTGACACATATACAAGAATAGTACATTACACAGCAGCCGCCTCGGCGCTCCCGAATTCCCCTCCGAGCTTCCTCTCTCCATCCCTCCCTCTGGATTTATTTTGGGAAGGGGAACACATGGGAATACTCAACCTATAAGTCAGCAGCATTAGTCAGGGGCGAACCTTTCTCCTTGGGACGTGGAGTATAAATTGTGACTTGCACTATCGCTTTGCCCAATTAGGAAAATCTTACATTGGCTTTGCATAGCCCACCAAGGTAGGCATGTATACTTACCCAGACGTGCTCCCTCGCTGCCTTTCTGCACTGCCAGGAGAGCATGTGACTTCCCCATGTGACAGCGTTGGAGCCCAAACGGGCCAATCGTCAGGAGACCTTGGTAAAGGCTCGGTGGTATAGGAGAGCATGTGACCTTCCCCATGTTACAGCATTGGAGCCCGAACAGCCAATCGGCAGGAGACATTGGTAAGGGCTCGGGGGTATAGGAGAGCATGTGACCTTCTCCATGTGACAGCATTAGAGCCCGAACGGGCCAATCGCCAGGAGACATTGGTAAGAGCTGCGGGGTATAGGAGAGCATGTGACCTTCCCCATGTGACAGCATTAGAGCCCGAATCGCCAGGAGACCTTGGTAAGGGCTCGGGGATATAGGAGAGCATGTGACCTTCCCCATGTGACAGCGTTGGAGGACGAACGGGCCAATCGCCAGATCTGAATGCTGTCATGTGCTGACACCAGTTGGCACAGGAGCACAGACAGGCGGGTATGGGATAATGGAGTTTGGCTGAGTAAGTATAAATGGGGGGGTGGCTATGAACAGATGCTGTCACTTGGCCTAAATGGGCATCATGACAGGGTCTCTTTAGCACCCGAGTCCAAACAAAATGGGAGCTTTAGTTTTGGATAAGGCGGTGAACAGTTTTTATTTCACCAAGACGGCACCACATGCAAAGCCTTAAGAACATTGTCACTAATCCTAACCCTTCCTCACTCGCTTCCTACACACTGGTTTGGAAGGTGTAGGGGAGGGTCAAGTTTTTATCGCAGTGCCTCATTGGGTGGATTCACCCTTTTATTTGCACTGGTGACCATTGTCACTGAGACAGAACGTGAAGGGAAATCCAAAAATGTGTCTGTGTCCCCAGAAGAAAAGGTAAGGGGAAGTTTCCCAATGGGGGCATCCGTTCCGGGGACAAATGTCTAAGAGTGGAACATCCCTCACTTTGGGAGATCTTCTCTAACTTCCTGTTGCATCTCAGGGACAGGAAGTGAAGGGATATTCTACCACTGGTATAGAATCAGATAAAAATAAGCTGACATGGGTTCTAACTAGGGATGCACCGAAACTAGTATCGGTGCCGATACCGAGTATTTGGGTGAGTACTCGTACTCGCCCAAATGCTCCGATACCTAGCACGAGTACTTCCTGTATCAGGAAGCTAGCAAATCCGGAAGTCGGGCACCGTGCAATGACGTAGCGCCCGGCATTCTGATTGGCCAGGAAACGGCTCCATGCTCTCTCGTCACTTGTGATGAGAGAGCATAGAGCCGACTTCCCGGCCAATCAGTAAGCCGGGTAGCGTGCAATGACGCGCTGCCCGGCTTACTGATTGGTCAGGAAGCTAGCAAATCCGGAAGTCGGGCACCGTGCAATGACGTAGCGCCCGGCATTCTGATTGGCCGGGAAGCCGGCGTCATGCTCCCTCGTCATCTCATGAATCATAATATTAAGAAAGTGACTTTAAAGCATTAGTTTGTATTGCTTTAGGAAAAATGTGACCTGTCCCTTTAAGAAAAAGTATTGGTAATTGGTATC